TGGATTACTCGTGGGATATTTGATACAACTGTCATCTTGTTCTGTGATGGACAAAGACATGATTACAAATGTCTCACAAAAGAAATATCTCACGAAAACCCACGTGCGAACGCAGCCACGCTTACCTTATCTCAGGGATTTTGAATGTAATTGAGCTCTTGGCCATTATACAGAACTTGTTATGATAACAACATTTGAGCAGTTCAGCCCTCGAATGATGGATGCCTTTTTCGAAGAACTAGCTCGCCTATGGTGAGAGAAGCTGAACACTCTGATTACCACTACTTAGGCTGACTTTGTCACAATAATGAGAACTTGCCAGTTGACGCGGTTGTGGAGGCCGCCTCGGACACATAACTCACTAAATGAGGTACTCAGTTTCTTCGTTCATTCGCTTTGTCAATAGTAATAGTAGAAGAACAGTTTCTGCAAGCGAAAGGTCAACATCTGATGATGAGCTGGGTGAGTCCAAATTTTCTATTCAAGCCCAGGGAACACTCAGGGGGAGCGCAAAAAGGCGAGCTAGTGGAGAGAAGTTCATAACAAAAATGCATGTGATTGGGTGCTCCTAAAATGGTCACGTGCACAAGTCAGTGAATTCATCTTCCCACACGAGCCTAGTACTAACCAATTGCCCTGCAGGGATGTGGAACCTCTCTTCGCTCTAGGGAAAAACGGTTCGAGTGCTGACAACCAAAGCGGGCGCGTTATAAGTGGCACTGCTTGCCATACCACCACCCAAGCCCTACCATTTTTATTGGTGTTTTTGTGTCATTACGCTATGTTATTAGTATCATTACTACTTATGAATGGTGGTAATGAAGTGGAATGAATTAGTTAATGCCGCTGAAAACGCCATTTGTTTCCTTGTTAGAAGTTTTTCCGCTACTGCACAAGACCATGACCTCGTTGCTGAGACAGACAACGAGAATTTACATTCCAAAATTTATAGTTCTCAGAGAATTGCTGAATGGCACTCTCACAAAAACATTATCACGTACCTCATTAGAGCACAATTCAACATTTGATCCTGGAACCACATCAAGGCTGTCGTATACCGCCTCAGTCAACAAGGCCTTTAGGTTCTTGAGGGCTGCTCGGGAGGCGATTGTCGTGCCCTGTACATCGACGACTTTCCCTCACTTCATCGGTCAGCTCCAATTTAACAAACTGAAGAGGAGCAGAATGCGCTTAGCAGCGAGGTTTTGATCAATTCTTGAAAGCTTACTGTATATTATAAAAGTGTGTTACCCTTCTGTTACACTGTTGGTGCAGTACCGCTACGTGAGGGCACCGAATCGTTTTCGGGAAAGCTTGTATAGGCAGCCTTGTGAAGAACTGTAAATTCCCTTTGCTGAAGTGGCTCACTTTCAATATTTCGGAGCTTTTCAAGGCTGCACAGTCCGATCAAAGTGAGACCTGCTTATTCAACATGAATTAACAAAGGAACTGTCAAGAGGCAAAAATGTTTCTTCCTCTTTGTTTAGTAGATGGAACAAGTATTCTCCCGGAGCAATCGACGTGGGGATCCTCTAAAAGAGCGGGGGGGGGAGGCTGTTTGTACTCGCGTCTAAGAGGATTTTTTGTAGTTGGTTTTTCTCTTTGCACGGACACTGTAAAAGGAGGAGGGGGAACTTCTTGTTCGTTGTTGGGAGGGGAGGTCGTATCTGCCTTCTGAAAAGGAAACTTCCCGGGTTGTTGCTTGTCGCGGTTTTCACAATGGCCTCTGCGCCCTCTCCCCCTGCCCCCACGACACACTCTCTCTCTCAAGAGCTCGATCGTAACAGTGGACTCGACCGAAATCCCCGGCAAGTGGTATTCTCTGATTCTTCGCTTGTGCTGCCATCTCTTTGAGTAGCGTCTCAATTTAGGAGTTTGGATACTGTATCCAGTCATCACAATTACAGTCAGCTTCTAGTGTGATTTCATTCTGTTGACACTTATACTTACAATAGTAGCAAGGCAACAACCCTAGGGAATAGAATCATTTTTTGAACACGTTATTTATCAACACAGGGTATTACTCTAGAGAACGGCGTTAATTAGCGCAAAACCCATGGAACATTTTAATGAGGGAGTTGCTTTGATTCCCATTTATTGTTCTCTTTGTTTTCTGTTAAAACTGTTACGACTGACTCAATCTATTTCCGCTTGGCTACCGTATGACGACCACTCTGAATGCTCTATTCCATCTTATTATTTTAGCGAGTTTAAAGGCCATGTCAACGCTCTCAGTTTCAGGAGCGAATCTTCGGCAACCAATCAAAGCAGTGCTCAACTTTCTAGTGTGCTTACGGCTCAATGGAGCTCGAAGCAACGCTTGGGATTCGGGTTTTAGCCTCGCTTTCAATTTTCATTCCAGCTATCATTGGCCTCGGACTGCACACCGTTACTTGCTTATACGCTCTACAAGGTGAAGAACAGGTTCAACCTTTCATTTCCTAATAAGTTTAGTTCGCTCACTGTTCATTTTTTCACACATTAGATTTCAGGGTTGGAAAACGTTTCGTCATATTAGTTTCTACGTAATCACAGTGCAGCTACAGTGGTGCGATATTTGTGCCTTATTTCTGGATCTTTATATTGCTGTCCCACTTTCTCTAACCGGCTATCAGGCACGTATTTATGTTAATAGAGGTGCCTCGAGGTGAAATCCAAAGAGGAAACAAAGGGAGTCTACGGCAATTCTGGGTAGTGTTCTGGTGATCCAGCCTGGGCACGCCCCCAATCTAACAACGATCACCCCATATATCACCCCAAATATATAATTCGCTTTGTTTGTTTGTTTGTTTGTTTGTTTGTTTGTAAGTTTGTCTGTCCGGAAATTCGGTTCGACCTGAAGAACGACTTGGAGAGGTCGGGTCAAGGTGGGGATGGGTAGGGCATGGGACAAGAAATAAAAAGCACACTTGACCTATGGGAAGCCCCGCCCACAGTGGGCGGGGCACTCGCCGAAAGTTTGGGGTTCCGCAGAAAAATGATCA